TCTCAGAAGGCTCGGAAGTCCTTCGGCCCTTTTGAGAAGTAATCCAAGCCTCCCACGAAGACAGACAAAAAACCTCTCAGAAGGCGCGAGGGCTCCTGAGAAGTCCCGACGCCTTCTGAGAAGGCGTTCTCCTTCTCATTTCCCCCCTGGGAGCGCCGCCGGATTTGGATTTGGGGTCATAACTCGGGTCTCTGGCGGCCGTTCGGGACGATCTGGGCACCCCCGGAACGCCCTCGGCGAGGCGCAGCTGCTCGCAAGCGTCCCGAAGCTAGAAAACCGCCGAGAACCCATGAAAACGTCCAAAAACCTCGGAACCCGAACCTCGAGTCCGAAACTTCCCCCCTCGCTCGCCGCCGAATGGGGTGCCCCCCAGGCCCCCTCGCTCCGCGCCGAGTGCGCGGAGGCCTCCCGCCTCCGCGAGGGACAGCCCGCGGCGCCTTCTGGGTGCGACGGGGCCCTTCCCGCCCGGGTCGCAACCCCCGCGCGCGAGCCTTCGGGGCCGGGTCTGTTACGAGGGGGGGAGGGAATGAGGAGAAGGGGGAGCAGGAGGAGGAGGAAGAGGAGAAGGGGGAGCAGGAGGAGGAGGATAAAGAGGAGGAGGAGGAGGTAGAGGAGGAGGAGGAGGAGGAGGAGAAGGAGGAGGAGGAGGAGGAGGAGGAGCAGCAGGAGGACGAGGAGGAAAAGGACTCTTTGGGACTTTTTGATAGCGGACGCTGTCCTGGGGGGGGGAGATTTTTACCACTGGAGCAACTCCTCTCCTGGACACGAGGGGGTCCCCAGGCCTGGCCAGGCCTGGAGGGAGCCGCGCGGCGACACCCCGTTCCCGTCTGGGCCTCCTGAGGCCCGGCAACCTGGCCAGAGCCGTGACCTGGGAAGACGACTGGTGGCGCTCTCAAGTCCACTGCTGCACTGCATGCTGCCTCCTCGCGGGCGTCCGCCGCGGCCGCGCCAACTCATCCAAAGACGCCGAGCACGCCGACCGTCTTCTGCAGCGCCTGGAAGGCGTTGTGAGCCTGGGCCTTACTCCCACAGGGCTAGCTCGTCCTTCTTCCAAGCACCGTCCTCCACGAGGAGCTTGATTCGATGCTCGAGCTTGGACACGAGCTTCACCAAGATGGGGTTCACGATGCCCTCCATCTCCTTCTGCTTGCCCTCAAGCACGCCCCTCCCCACGGGCTGAGCCTTGTCCAACCAGACGCGGGTGTGTTCGAAAGCCTTCAGGATATTCTCTTCGTCACCGTCCTCGAAATTGTACTTGAACTTTCCGTCCAAGAGGGTGTTACGCATGGTGGAGCAGTAGTTGACGAGGCAGTGCACCGCCTCGGACCTGTCCTCGGACTGCTTCGCCAACGTATCGGCCTGCTCCTCGGCGAGCAACAGATTGCGCTCGGCCTCTACCAGCAGCTCGCGCACTGCGGCCAGTTCCTCGTTCCTCATGCCGATAGCCTCCACCTGCAGGCCGAGATCCTTCCTGGCCTCCTCTATGGCGAGATGGGTAGCCTCCAACTCGAGAATCTTCTCGGCCAGCAGCTCGCGCATGTTGTTCTTCGGCTCGAGTTTGAATTTGGGGCGAGCCTTCTCCTTGGCCTCATGCTGGGAGCCCTCGAAGTGCGCCCGAACCTCCCTTCTGAGTCCCACGTCTGGATGGCCTCTCGCATTGCGCAGTTTGCTCAATCTCCCGACGCGGGAGGCGAGTTTGGGTGCACAGGTTGCCCGCAGCACCTCCTTCGCGGACTGGACCGTGACCAGCGCCTCGAGCTGTCCTGCCTGGACCACCCCATCGAGCACCTCCGCCTGCTGCGCGATCTCGCCCCCGCCTGTGTCACCACCTGCCGCGCAAACGCCCGCCCCCAGCGCGGCGCCGCGCGCCGCGGCCGCGACCGCCGTAGCGAGGGCCCTCGTCCCCACCTGGTGCCACCCCTCGCGCCGATGGCGATCGGACGATCTGCCCGCAGCTCGTTCAAATTGACTCTGGCTGCTCCTCGACGTTTGCTCGGCGGCCGTGTTCGCAGCAGACCGACCGTCTCCGCGCGGTGACAGGTCCGTGCGCTCATCTGCTCAAAAGTGATCCAACGTGCTCCTCAGTGGTCCTTGCCGAGAGACAAGGCACACGTCTGAGCAAAGCCAAGTTGCACGCATGGGTCGGATCGAAGCGGTGGTGGTGGTGGTGGTGGTGGTGGTGGTGGTGGTGGTGGTGGTGGTGGTGGTGGTGGTGGTGGTGGTGGTGGTGGTGGTGGTGGTGGTGGTGGTGGTGGTGGTGGTGGTGGTGGTGGTGGTGGTGGTGGTGGTGGTGGTGGTGGTGGTGGTGGTGGTGGTGGTGTGGTGGTGGTGGTGGTGGTGGTGGTGGTGGTGGTGGTGGTGGTGGTGTGTGTGTGTGTGTGTGCGTGTGTGCGCGTGTGCTGTGGTGTGACGTGGTGTGGCG